CCTCCGGTTGAGATCATCATTCAACATGGCCATCATCGGGGTGTTTGGGGTCATTTCCCTTTATTTGATTGGACCTTATCAACTCGACCAAGCTATTGATCGAGGATTGGGTTTCTTGTAGGCTTTGTGCCTTTGCTGGTGAATTTTCTTGATTGTAGGTCTTAAAGGCCCAATATGAATGTATTAAAATAAATATTCCGATCACATTCGTGATCGTATATTTATCTGAGAGTTTGAACCCTGTCTACTCCTATTCACCTGCTTAGGAGGATCGGGTTTTGTAGGCTTCATGCCTTTTGTTTAGTGAATTCTTTTGATTGTAGGCCTCGAAGGCCTAATATGAATGTATTGAAACAAATACATCGGTCCCCACAACCGTGTATCTGTTTGATAGTTCGAACCCTGTCGACTCCTATTGATCCGTATAGAAGGATCGGGTTCGAACCTGAATTTACTTGTCAACCCGCGAAGCATCCCTAGACGTCACGTGTGTACCAATAACACGCTCGCCGGGGCCCATGCGGGTATCGATTGTATTTACACCTTTAGTGTATCTATGTGTATACAATTTATGATGCACGTGCAAGGGGTTTCTTGAAAGTATTTATAGACGCCTTCTATCTGCTTGTACGAATGTTATAGATCCGGTGGCGTCGTTGTAGATTGTGGAAGCCTTCTGTCTGCTTGTATAGATGTTGCAGATTCGGTGGCGTTTTGATCTTGATGTTGTGAGGCATCTCCTCATTTTGATGTTGACTCCCCCCCTTTTCTCATTCACCGGGGAGGGTTTTCTTTTGGACTTTGAAGTCCACTGATTGTTGCTTTGCTTTGAGAAGATATCCTTTCAAGATCTTTAGTGTAATGGACTTTTTCGTACATCGGGTCGCCATTGTACTTGAAATACTTGAAGATCTTGATCACCGTTGTCGTAGGTGATATTCGTACCTGTGTCCACAGTGGTTCGTTATGCTTACGATATACACACTGTTGTTATCCACAAGTGGCTAGTGCTTATTTGGAGGGACCCGTGATATTTGCTACGATCTCACAGAGATGTTCGTAGGAGAGCCATTGTCACCTTCAATCATATCCACCTTTCACCAATCTCAGGTGGGATTGATGTATTTGCACTTGCTTATAGGGGACGGTCCTCCCCTACTGAATGTCGGTATTGCCATCTCAATCTACAGGCACTTGTTTGTATTGTAGATTATATTAGCACATATGGCAGTCATGCATGAACTCCGCAACTTGTCCAATATAGTTCATTTGACCTTGTAGGGATCGTCGTAGGAGTCTGTTGTATTTGCATTATACATGTCTGTAATGTATTGCAACTCTTTCACACTTGTTCACGAAACATATGTAGAATATACAGTGGGCTCCCTACCAAGGCTCGTAGGTATTTGCATTTGTTGAACATCGAATCTCCTCGACTTGTAGTAGATTCCTCGCATTTATTTGACATTGAATTATTGTTGTTTATGTGCATGTCGCTTAATAGCTCTTGCATCTTAATCATCAAGCGAGTTGTACTTGAAACTTTAGTTTGAGTTGGAACCTTTGTAAAAGTCCAAATTTAAATTCTCATTCCACTTAATTCATTTAAGTTCAAGTCTTATACGAGTCCCCTGTGGTTCAGGTTTTCAAGTTCAGGTACATGTTCAAGTGTTTGTTGAAGTTCTTTGGAGTTCGATTGCATATTCAATTTCATCTGGACTTGAGGCAGATACTTACAAGTTCAAGGTTGATTCAAGTCTTTGCTCACATCATTTGATTTCCAAATCAAGTATGAGTTCAAGTTCAATTAAGTTCTATCCTTGTTCATAAGTCCTCTGCTCTTGTTCGAGTACAAGTTCTATGTCCTTGTTCAAATTGTTCAGTCCTTTGTAGTCTCTTGAGTTCAAGATCATATTCTAACTCAAGTCTTCGTTGTAGTTCATTTGTAAGTTCAAGCTTAATGACCATTCAAGATTGACTTAAGCATTTTGTTCAATAAGATTTAGTTCATTTATTGTCCAAACAAAGTCCAAATAATGCTCAAAATTGTCCCAAGTACGAATTGCTAAAGAAAAGCGTGCACGGTAGGTGCCCTCTCTCTCTCTCTCTCTCTCTCGGCTTGGGGTCGGCACAGCCGGAGGTGGATCGGAACTGAGGATGGCCGTGGATTTCGGAAGGAGAAGTAGAGAGGGGAAGCAGGGAATAGCGACAGGGAGAGTGTCGTGAGAGAGAGCTTTGGGTCGTATGTGGAAGATGTCGGGAATGGAAGAGGTCAGAGCTTTCGCGTGGAGAGGGAGCGGCTTCGTGTGTCGAGCAGCCGAGATGAAGAGCCTTCGGCTCCTATTTAACGATGCAAAATGAGTACTCCCCGACGGGATCTCTGCAGGAATCGCGGAGACAGGCGTGAAAGGCGCTGAATTTACAGTTCCTCGGCGGAATTTCAGCAGGGATTTCGGTAGAAATCGTGGATCCATCGGGTAAGGTATGATTCTGAGCTTCTCTTTTTTTTGTTTCCTTTGGATATAGCATACAGGTCAACAGAATATTGATTTAAAGTTTGAGAAATCGAGAATAAACCTTTTACTCGAGAATGAAAAGTTATGTTTTCAATTAGATTAATGTTGTTCAAAGATGCCACTAAACTTCGTAGTGTAAGGAGTTCACTAAAGAAGCCACCTATGTTGCACCGATACACCTATTTATGAAGGCGTGTTGTATCTGATACACCGATACACGGATACGCCTCCGATACGGCACTGATAGGTGTCGGATACGGCAAAGCCAACTTAATTTCAAAAGGACACGCGTATCCAATACGCATGTCCGTTGAAAAACAAAAAAAAAATCTGAAAAAAGACGCATCGTATTTACTTCCATGGCTGCGAGTGAGGTTCTCTCATTTTTATATGGATTTGAGTCTTTTGATGATATGGGAATATTAGAAATTGCTAATCTTTCACTTGATGAGCATGAATTAGAAGCTATGATATATAAGTTCAAAGCAAACCACTGAAGAAGCTAATCATATCATTCCTTCTATTGAATAGTTAAAACTTCAGGTGCTAAACAATTTATGTTAATGTTTTTGTTGTTGTACTAGACATTTAATGCTTACTTTTATTTTGATATTATAAGCTGCAATGCTACAAATAATTTTGCTTTCATTTTTTTGTAATTTCAAATATTATGCTTTGATTGCTTTCGTAATTTTTATGTATGATTTCTAAATTATAATGTCGTGTCCGTGCCGTACCCGTATCCTATATTTTTTAGAATTGACGTGTACCGTATTCATATTGTGTCGTATCCGTGTCGTCGTATCCGTATCGGTGCAACATAGGAAGCCACTAGAGAGGAAGGCTTAATAAAAATTAGTAGCATTAGGAGGTCGCTATAGAGGAAAAAAGATGTGGAGGTCGATTTGAAGAGGCTCAGGGAGCAACAACTTGAGCTCCAATGCTGCACCTTTGCCAACACCTGCTTGGGTAATAAAGCGGAAGCTGATGCCTTCCCAGATAAAGACAGGCATTCAGCGTAAGATTTACAATCTCCACTGTTTGGGGTATATTGATCCCACTTCCCGGGTGGTGAAATATTGCATTTGAAGGCTCGATAAAACTAGAATCTTTAATGCTGGCTAGCTGTCAGTAGTGATATGCTAGTCATGAACCTCCAAGCTCCATTTATCCATAAGAATTTTGTTGTTCTCCACTAAGAATCGACCCTGCTGTAGCAACATCATGGACCTCGTATCAATCCTTACGAGTTTATGCAGCGGAATTGTGAAAAATAAGAGGAAAGCAGAAAGACAACCAACAACAACAAAAAAACAAATAGTGCATCCTCAACTTATTCAAGCCAAATTCTTGAGATATTGCGTTTTCGAAGCTT